GATAGGGATACTTAAAAAAGGGATAACATGTAGATATGTTATTACGGATCATAACTTGAAATTCCTGAAAATAAATCCTATTCGTATGACAACAAATTCAGTCTCCAAGCATTCCGCCCCAACTCAACTAATGGCAATATCCCTACCAAACGTTGAATGGTATACACTGTAACCAAGTATGTAATAAACAGACATCCGACATTACAGCACCTTCCAATGCAGATCTAGCAGACCAATGAAACATGGAACGATACCATGGTTACTGTACATCTCCAGAAGGGTAAACACGATGCTCTACAAGAATATACAATACAAACACGATGCACCTGTTATAACAAACACAATGTACTTGTTATACATGTTATAACAAACATGATGTACTTGTAACAAACAAGATGTACCTGTTATAACAAACACTATGTACCTGTTATAACAAACACGATGCACCTGTTATAACAAACACGATGCACTTGTTAAAACAAACACGATGTACCTGTTATAACAAACACGATGCACCTGTTATAACAAACATGATGTACTTGTTCTAACAAACACGATGTACTTGTTATAACAAACAAGATGTACCTGTTATAACAAACACTATGTACCTGTTATAACAAACACAATGTACCTGTTATAACAAACACGATTCACCTGTTATAACAAACATGATGTACTTGTTTAACAAACACGATGTACTTGTTATAACAAACACGATGCACCTGTTATAACAAACATGATGTACCTGTTATAACAAACATGATGTACCTGTTATAACAAACATGATGTACCTGTTAGAACAAACACGATGTACTTGTTATAACAAACATGGTGTACCTGTTATAACAAACACGATGCACCTGTTATAACAAACATTATGTACCTGTTATAACAAACACGATGCACCTGTTATAACAAACACTATGTACCTGTTATAACAAACACTATGTACCTGTTATAACAAACATGATGTACTTGTTCTAACAAACACGATGTTCTTGTTATAACAAACACGATGCACCTGTTATAACAAACATGATGTACCTGTTAGAACAAACACGATGTACTTGTTATAACAAACACGGTGTACCTGTTATAACATGTTAAAGCATACACATGTTAAATCTATTCCAGAGATCAAGCAGCAGTGAATAAACTTAGTTCAAACTTTGATGAAAATTAAAATGTTTTCTATAATCACTACTTGACAGTTTTATACGGTTTATACCCTTTCCACGCTTCAGTTTTCAGTAAAATACACACAAGAAAATGTCAAGTAAACTTTTGGTCTAAGCAGGGGGGGCGCTTCTGAAGATTACACTCTGATTGGTTTAGAATTAGCCCAGGGGGTGCTGATTGGAAGACAACGCTTAATGGAACAAATACAGTATTTCTGAGATGCTAGTATGGTATTCTTAATATTACAACAGTCCTTTTTACTGAGAAGACACAAGACGACAAGCGGACAAATTAACTCGGTCTGTGTATTGTTGGAACATCACATGAAATCCTTTGTGACATCATAAACCAAAGCATGAAGACATTTTGAATAATTTTACGACGATGAGTTTAAATGATGTCATGTTGCTATGCGCTGTTCCAGAGACAATGTGAAAAACAAAATACTACAAACACTCAAACATAGCCAATCAAGAGCATATCGGGTAATGTGTTCTTCCAGACATATCTGGCATATGTGCAAAGAGGAATATTGCTGGAAGCAAGTCTAGTAAATAAAAGGAAGAGAATTTATGGATGTCAACCTCTTTATTATGAGAAAATAGTTGTTTTCCTCATTATAAAGAAGTTGACATCCATAAATTCTCTTCCTTATGTGTATCACTACTAAATGCCATTCAAAGACTTGAAGTAAATAAAATATCACAGATCACAGTACAACAAAACTGTTACCTGGCAACTGTATCTATTACAATAGTGCAGATAATCCTTGGAAATTCCTTTTCCATATAAAAGTCTGCAACCATCCAACCATCTCGAATTGAACCTGAACATGTTTTCCAACATGACCATTTTCATAATTATTTAAAAGAAATTATTCCAAAGAAGAGATAATTAATTATTAACATCATGACTGTTCTACAAAAGCAGTTTATCTGCTACTGACGCCTGGCCATGACAAACTGACTGAAAAGGTCGGTGTCATGTGTCACAACCAGACTGTCATAAATAACAGGCATTAATGTTTTAATATCGGCTGTGTTGATGCCGACACAGGACAAAGTCGGCTATAAAACACTTGAGTGCTCCGCCATGGGTCTCCAGCCGATCAAGGCATCAGGTTACGGTAGGACCAAGCAGAGTGTGGCCAGATCTTCAGGGTGTAGCACACCATAGACAGTCACAGGGGGCGGGGGGTATCACACACAATACCTGGCATGTCAGGTGCTACAGGACCATTCATTCACAGTAATCCTTGTATGTCTTAATTGGGCATAAATCTCACCATACATACATCGCTGAAGCTCACCTGAACAAACTGGTTGATAATTACTTGGGAGTTGGGGGAGTTTGGTGGGTGAGTGAGTGAGTTTGGGAGTGAGTAGTTAGAGAATCAAATGAAAACTGTATTTTGAGCAAAATAGCCGCCTACCAATACATACTACGGCTGCAACGAAAACACTATGAAGCAATTACGATACGTATCATGAATATAGGGTAATGAATATTTATTCATGAATACAGTAACAAGTCAGCAGTTGATGTATGATTTATTATACTTAGGTAAACCAAATAAGTTATTTGACATGGTTGGACCATGTTGACAGTGTTAATTATTATTATTACCACATTACTGTTAAATTAGAAATATAAGAGTGTTGTCTTTGAAGAGATCTACATATGCATGTCATTTGTTCTTGTGGATACTTTGAGGTACAGGCAAAGTAAATGTACATGACTGCATATTCATGGTTGCAAAATACAGTGATCGCTCGCTACAATGCTACCTTTGGGGTCCAGACCTCGTCAACGAATTCGGGTAACGAACAGGTGTGAAATTTGTGATAAAACATCACTAGACATGATTTACCATGTAAATTGTATTTCCTGTTCTGCTAGGCATTGTTTTACATACAGAGATTAAGATTACTGAGTGAACTGTCTCGTAAACTAAGCTGAAAATAGCAATCAGCTGTACACACGTTTTCTACCAATTTACCAGTGATTCAGTTTAAAAATACCCAATAATATAAGGTCAAAGAATTTTGATGCAACGATTGGAAGAACTATTATTTTATCAGGAATAATACATTGTGTATATGTCTATTCCATTATTGTTATTTTAGTTGCAGCATTTACTATATAAATATTTCAAATAATTATAACCATAATCGTAGCACTTTGGTTCAGCTGACAGCTACTGCCAGATTTTTTTTATGTATGGAACAATTTTACGAGTCACTGTTGAGATTTCCCGCGCTACCTGCACTCGATTGTGAAAACGTTATGTTGACGTGTAACAGTCAAACTGCAACAAATATGACTTATAACAAGTCAAAGTATCTCATTTATGATATATGCATCCATTCTCTGACAAGTGAGGTTCTTTTCAAGGCGCCAATGCGGTAATCTGATCTTGGCTGTTGTAAATAACGGTGCGTCCGAAAGTAATGTTAAACAATATTGAATGAAATTTTGAATAACATTATTAAAATATATTACAACCATAAGTCCAGATATACAATGAACACGTTTTTATAACCAAATAGTGGAATAACAAGGTCAGAGCTCCTGGTAACTTTTTGAGCAATTGAGTTTTTACTTGAAGTTTTCTATTTTAATTGGGTTATTACATTTTTCATTGGGTTACCAATATTTTTTCACTCATCTATTCATCACTCTATTGGGTTTTTCCCAAAATGAGCTAACATTTTGAGATTTCAAAAACAATAAAATAATGTTGTGGATGTATATAAGGGTTCTAAGAAAAGGTTTGACTCAGAAAGTAAATTAGCTTGTAATGGTGTTTCGGAAATTAGCTCAATTCTACGCATACTGAAAATGCTTCATTGGTTATTTACGCGTGCTATTTTTATAATTTGAGTTTTTCATTTAATGCATGTGTTTCTGTACGCAAGTTAATTGAAAGTAATTGGGTTTTGAATATTTTTGAGAGTTGTTTTACGCAAATATGCTGCTTATCTGTAGCTCTGAGGATTATATTGCGTAATTCAGTTTAGACTTTTTGACTGGTACTTCTGGTGTTACGTGCTCATGGTAATCTGTTGCTATTGTCTGTGTGGTTGGGGAAAAACACTGTCAGTGTAAAACTTGAGTTTATTTAAAATGTACGAAATGTAGGTTGAAACATTCAAGTGATATTTTTTGTGAAGCAAACAAGCCAAACATTGGGACAATGCTGTTTATAGCCTTATGTTTGGGTTGAGAGTACCATCAGGGGCCGTGGCAAACTGACATAAGTTATGCTACTGCATGGTTTGTATATATTTTGATAAATAACAGATGAGTTCAAGTAAAAAACACAACTTTAAAATTATTTTCTTTGTAAATATGCGATTCCAGTAAGCAGGAATAACAAATTCAATTAATGAAGGGATAAACTGAATACACAAGTAAATGGAAACAGCCCTTATATATACATATATTGAAGGAGGAGAACTTATGGATGTCAGCATGTTTTATTATGAGGAACAACGTTTAGAGGCAGGTTTTCCAAATGATTCCATAAATTCTCTTCCTTATGTGTATCACTTCTTATGCCATTCAAAGAATTGATACAATTATTTGCAATAACACAGAAGAGAGAAACATAAACAAATCCCAGTTTAATATTTTGATATAGCTGAATATGTGACCACACACATGTAACATGGGTCCCCTATCTGGCTGTGGCAGCCCCTCCCTCCTGGTAGAGAGTGATGAAGATCTGCCCCACCCCCTGTATGTAACACTGTCCCCTCCCTCCTGGTTGATGGTGATGAAGATCTGCCCCACCCCTTGTATGAAACACTGTCCCCTACCTGGCTGTGGCCGCCCCTCCCTCCTGGTTGAGGGTGATGAAGATCTGTTTCTCTTTCAGCAGCATGTCACTGAGATGTCGGATCTCCTGCAGCTGTTCCTCTAGAAGCTGGTACAGCTGCAACCAAACCCACATGTGTTAACTGTCATGTCTAACAGGTCACTGACACATATACCACACATATACCAGGTCCGGACGCAAATTTCAATTCTGCACTCTTTTTTACTTTTCTTTCTTTCTTTTTTGTTTAACACCACACTAAGCAATATTCCAGCTGTAAGACGGCGGTCTGTAAATAATCCGAGTCTGGACTAGACAATCCAGGGATTATCGATCTACGCAATTGGAATATGACATGCATCAACCAAGTCAGCGAGCCTGACCACCCGATCCTTTCATCACCGCTTATGACTTTCAGGGGTCCGATTATTGGGTGTTTTGAGGTTCTTTGCCATGTGCGGAGAAAACAATAGCTCTTTCCAAAAGGGACATAATTCTTTATTGGCATCTTTGCCTACCATACACTGTTGGTCTACGAGGTCACACACATGTGTACATACACTGTTGGTCTACGAGGTCACCCACGTGTGTACATACACTGTTGGTCTATGAGGTCACACACATGTGTACATACACTGTTGGTCTACGAGGTCACCCACGTGTGTACATATACTGTTTGTCTACGAGGTCACACACGTGTACATACGCTGTTGGTGTGTATTAGTCGTCAAGGTTTCTAGCTGATATTGGGATTGAGGACTGATATCATCTCCCACTGGTCTCTGCCTACCTTCATATCGTCGGTGCCACTCTGCCTCTCCTTCAGCTGGTGCAGCAGGTCGCGGTTGGCACGGCCACTCTCCAGGACACTCCGGTTCTTCTCCGCCATCAGCTCCTGCATCAACAAACCGTCAGTTACCAACCTCACAATACCACATCCTTCTGTACCACATCCTTCTGTACCACGCAACAGTGCACAGGGAGAATGGATATTTTCCTTTACAGCTGAAACATCTTTACAATGGAGCATGGTCCATAATTTGGGGATGTTTATTGGGGAAGCCATCAGATTTTAAGACACATTTGTGGTCACTAAAATTGGGGGATCTGCGGAGGATTCTCATCCCTGAGTGTAAAGCTTTATTCTTACACCATTCAGGATAAATGACCGAGTCACACACTCAAATTATCTATGCCTCCATTACCACTTGGCCTACCGCTAACTACCCAATGCTGGAATATCCTCCCTTCCCCGTACGTAGTCACACGAAGCAATGCTCAGCCTACGGCTAGCTACCCAATGCTGGAATATCCTCCCTTCCATGTATGTAGTCACATGAAGCAGTGCTCGGACTACGGCTAGCTACCCAGTGCTGGAATATCCTCCCTTCCATGTATGTAGTCACATGAAGCAGTGCTCGGCCTATGGCTAGCTACCCAATGCTGGAATATCCTCCCTTCCATGTATGTAGTCACACGAAGCAGTGCTCGGCCTACGGCTAGCTACCCAATGCTGGAATATCATCCCTTTCATGTACGTAGTCAGATGAAGCAGTGCTCGGACTACGGCTAGCTACCCGATGCTGGAATATCCTCCCTTCCATGTATGTAGTCACATGAAGCAGTGCTCGGACTACGGCTAGCCACCCAATGCTGAAATATCCTCCCTTCCCCGTACGTAGTCACATGAAGCAGTGCTCGGCCTACGGCTAGCTACCCAATGCTGGAATATCCTCCCTTCCCCGTACGTAGTCACACGAAGCAGTGCTCGGCCTACGGCTAGCTACCCGATGCTGGAATATCCTCCCTTCCATGTATGTAGTCACATGAAGCAGTGCTCGGACTACGGCTAGCTACCCAATGCTGGAATATCCTCCCTTCCATGTATGTAGTCACATGAAGCAGTGCTCGGCCTACGGCTAGCTACCCAATGCTGGAATATCCTCCCTTCCATGTACGTAGTCACATGAATCAGTGCTTGGCCTACGGCTAGCTACCCAATGCTGGAATATCCTCCCTTCCATGTATGTAGTCACATGAAGCAGTGCTCGGCCTACGGCTAGCTACCCAATGCTGGAATATCCTCCCTTCCCCGTACGTAGTCACATGAAGCAGTGCTCGGCCTACGGCTAGCTACCCAATGCTGGAATATCCTCCCTTCCATGTATGTAGTCACATGAAGCAGTGCTCGGCCATGGCTAGCTACCCAATGCTGGAATATCATCCCTTCCCTGTATGTAGTCACATGAAGCAGTTGCTCACCTCAAGGAGCTTGTCCTTCTCTCGCAGCTGATCTCTGAGTAGCCGGAGACGGCTGCCATCACCACCGTTGTATTCCAGTGCATCCTGGAAATACCCAAACACTTTTCAGGCTTCTGTCTATCAATTCTTTGATAGTCATTTCTTAGAATCGACGGATGACAAGGCAAACACAAATTATGGATAACAACTTCATTATTATAGTGTAATAGCAACGTTTTGGTTAAGATCCTCACACCGTTGTCAAGAATATACTGCTGTTCCTACAATATAAGGATTTATACCAAAACATCCCTATTACACTAAAATAATAGGGTGGCCCACCTGTAGTGCTGTGTGACTCACCTGTAGTGCTGTGTGGCCCACCTGTAGTGCTGTGTGACTCACCTGTAGTGCTGTGTGGCCCACCTGTAGTGCTGTGTGACTCACCTGTAGTGCTGTGTGGCCCACCTGTAGTGCTGTGTGGCCCACCTGTAGTGCTGTGTGGCCCACCTGTAGTGCTGTGTGACTCACCTGTAGTGCTGTGTGACTCACCTGTAGTGCTGTGTGACTCACCTATAATGCTGTTTGGCCCACCTGTAGTGCTGTGTGACTCACCTGTAGTGCTGTGTGACTCACCTATAATGCTGTTTGGCCCACCTGTAGTGCTGTGTGACTCACCTGTAGTGCTGTTTGGCCCACCTGTAGTGCTGTGTGACTCACCTGTAGTGCTGTGTGACTCACCTGTAGTGCTGTGTGACTCACCTATAATGCTGTTTGGCCCACCTGTAGTGCTGTGTGACTCACCTGTAGTGCTGTGTGACCCACCTGTAGTGCTGTGTGACTCACCTGTAGTGCTGTGTGACTCACCTGTAGTGCTGCATCCTTGTCAGCTAGCAGTGCCTCCAGGTGTTTGACAGCTCTCCGTTTGTCCTCCATCATCCCCGCTTGACCGTCCACCGCAGCCTGACGAACAACACGTCAATCAACCATTAATACACATCTAGTGACACAGACAGGACAACAAGATGCTTTTATGCACTCATATTTTCAATCAAGCTTAATCCTGAAACTTGAAAGAAACTAAATGAAAGGCTTCAAGGTAAAGATAGTACCAGTGGTAAATGATTGCCATATCTGAAGGAGGAATCAACTCACCTCAAGCTCCTGCTGTGCCGTCCTCAGTTGTGATGTCAGCTGTCGGATGTAACCATCCCTGTCTCCTGTCTCCCCATCAAGTGCCTGAAACAACATCAACATCATCATCACACACAGGGACATCATGAACGGGAAATACATACACATCATCAAAGTAACTGAATCAAATTCTATTCATTGCCAACTATGCTAAAGTGGAACCAGTTTTTAACAGTGGCTTCCTCAACAAGTTTTTAACAGTCTTTTAGCAACAGAGAAGATCATTTATCCAAATGCAAGGAAATCCTTGTCAATGCACCATGCAACAATATTCCAGCTATATAATGGAAGCCTGTGAATAATCAAGTTTGAAACAGACAATCCAGTGATTGATATTATCAGCAACAATCCACGCTGCATTGGGGTATGATGACAAACCATCCACCAAGTCATGGAGCCTGACCTCCCATACCATTAGGCTGCCTCTTACGGCTAACCATCCACCAAGTCATAGAGCCTGACCTCCCATACCATTAGGCTGCCTCTTACGGCTAACACAGGCTGCTGGGGACCAATTCTTCCGCGGAAAAGAAACATCTCAAGCCATGAAACTCACTTGAAGCGCATCCTCTGCTGCCTTCAGCTGGCGTTTGGTGTCCTCCAGGTCTGTGTCATGTCCTGCCACTTTCTGCTTCAGATTCCTCAACTCCTGGTTCTTCTCCGCCAGAGCTTTGTGTAGATCCCCCACACCGACCTACAACACAACAACACCCTCTCAACAACATCCTTGGCTGTTAGCCATCAATGTCACCGCAGTCACCGCGGTCTAGTGGAAGGAGTGCCTGTCTGGAGAGCGGAAGGTCAGTGGTCGATCTCCGGCCTCATCATACGATGTCCCTACCTGGCACATTCCCACATAAACGGGATGAAAAAAAGGACGGGTTTGATCGGAGTCAGTACACTGTGTCTGAGGGGGTTATTCATGTTCAACTGTGGCATGGTATCTCAGTAGGCATGCTATATAAAACCTACATTAATGCAGACAAGTACAAGCAGCCATGTACCCATACACATGTGTACCGTTATAAGTGCAAAAACCTTGAACAGACGTTAAACCCGATTGCACTCATGTGTCTATGAACCTATTCTTCCATCACACACAGGCTGGCCCTCTACCTCACAGACATGTCACTGTTACTCTCAGTACAGCATATTGTCAACAAGTATTTGCAGTATTTGAAACTGAGCATGAAAGTGAGGGGTCCTTATCAATACCCTAATATTATTTGTCTTAAAAGATTCAGGGGTCCCATGACCATCCCCAATCCATCATCCTGTGACCACCTGGCCGTCCTGGGACAGCAGCCCGACATACTCCCATGACCCACCTGGCAGTCCTGGGAGAGCAGCCCGACATACTCCTGTGACCCACCTGGCGGTCCTGGGACAGCAGCCCGACATACTCCTGTGACCCACCTGCGATAGCAGCCCGACATACTCCTGTGACCCACCTGGCCGTCCTGGGACAGCAGCCCGACATACTCCCATGACCCACCTGGCCGTCCTGGGACAGCAGCCCGACATACTCCTGTGACCCACCTGGCCGTCCTGGGACAGCAGCCCGACATACTCCCATGACCCACCTGGCCGTCCTGGGACAGCAGCCCGACATACTCCCATGACCCACCTGGCCGTCCTGGGACAGCAGCCCGACATACTCCCGTGACCCACCTGGCCGTCCTGGGACAGCAGCCCGACATACTCCCGTGACCCACCTGGCCGTCCTGGGACAGCAGCCCGACATACTCCTGTGACCCACCTGGCCGTCCTGGGATAGCAGCCCGACATATTCCTGTGACCCACCTGGCGGTCCTGGGACAGCAGCCCGACATACTCCTGCAGCCCGACATATTCCTGTGACCCACCTGGCCGTCCTGGGACTGCAGCCCGACATACTCCTGCAGCCCGACATACTCCTGTGACCCACCTGGCCGTCCTGGGACAGCAGCCCGACATACTCCCATGACCCACCTGGCCGTCCTGGGACAGCAGCCCGACATACTCCCGTGACCCACCTGGCCGTCCTGGGACAGCAGCCCGACATACTCCCGTGACCCACCTGGCCGTCCTGGGACAGCAGCCCGACATACTCCTGTGACCCACCTGGCCATCCTGGGACAGCAGCCCGACATACTCCTGCAGCCCGACATACTCCTGTGACCCACCTGGCCGTCCTGGGACAGCAGCCCGACATATTCCTGTGACCCACCTGGCGGTCCTGGGACAGCAGCCCGACATACTCCTGCAGCCCGACATATTCCTGTGACCCACCTGGCCGTCCTGGGACAGCAGCCCGACATAATCCTGCAGCCCGACATACTCCTGTGACCCACCTGGCCGTCCTGGGACAGCAGCCCGACATATTCCTGTGACCCACCTGGCGGTCCTGGGACAGCAGCCTGACATACTCCTGCAGCCCGACATATTCCTGTGACCCACCTGGCCATCCTGGGACTGCAGCCCGACATACTCCTGCAGCCCGACATATTCCTGTGACCCACCTGGCCGTCCTGGGACAGCAGCCCGACATACTCCTGTGACCCACCTGGCCGTCCTGGGACAGCAGCCCGACATATTCCTGCAGTTGTTTGTCCTTGTCCTTGAGTCTGTCCTCCAGCACCTTCAGCAGGTCTCCCTTCATCTTCACCTCGTTCTGAGCATCATCCAGCAGGTGCTGCCAACAGAGAGTACACAGTACAGCAGGTGCTACATCACAGTCTGTACTTAATGAAGACTGGCCAGGATAAACAAGAGTTTGCCACTAACGTGGCTCTATCCCCCGCCCCTGTTGCAGAATTTATGACATAATTAATCTAAACAAACCCTAACCTTTTTTAACCGAGGTGGAACTTGTCATGGAAATTGTAAAAAAAAGAAGAGTTTGGAACTTAAGTCCATCTTGCTGCCATGGAAACCTAAAAAATAAAAATTTCTAAAATTTCTAAATAGCAAAAGGCACCAGTTCAGCATGTACCTGACAAACCTGCAAAGTTTGTTGAAAAAATATTGAACGGTTTCCGAGTAATGCACCGGAAACGAAACGTGACGAAGGACGTATGGACGGATGGACGGATGGAGCCCGTTTCTATATCCCCCGCCAACTTTGTTGGGCGGGGGATAACAAGCACTTGTCATGAGTTTTGTCCAAAACCAGTGTTTGCAATAATTTTAAAACCCAACAAGACATTTGGTCAGGTGACCCATAATGTTGCGGAAGAATATGTAAGTAGTCTTGGAATTATCTGCCAGACATGTGGGCAGGTGGAGGAAAATTTCAGACAGCCCGACAGAAAAGTTGAGTGAGTGAGTGAGTGAGTGAGTGAGTGAGTGAGTGAGTGAGTGAGTGAGTGAGTGGGTGGGTGGGTGGGTGAGTGAGTTGGGTTTAACGCCGTTTTTAACAGTATTCCAGGTATATCACGGCGTGTCAGCTTAATGTTGGAGGAAAACCCTCGAGCAAGGGTATGGTGCTGACAAACCTAGAAACATAATTGGGGCGAAGGTTTCTGGCGAATCGTGGCGACTTAGATGACTGGGCCACACGTGCCCCCGCCACGGGCAGGAAGTTATTTCAGACACTGTGCCAAATATGAAGGCACAGCAGCTGCATCGATGTCCCACATGAAGTCCACATGATCATCTCACCTTGTACTGCTGAGCCTGTCCGTCCAGTCGGTCCTGAGCCTGGTCCCTCTCCTTCTGCAGCTGCTCCTGGAGAGCCTGAAACATACACGCCCACTTAGTCTCGCTTTCTGTTTCCCCACATACCAACACACATAACTCTCCATCTCCCAAACCATTCCTCTCATACAAACATACACGCCCACTTAGTCTCGCTTTCTGTCTCCCCGCCCATCCCTGCAATCCTCCTCTGGTCCCATCCATTCTTTGTTGACCCCATCCATCCATTGTTCACCCCATCCATCCTTTGGTCACCCCATCCATATTCCTCTGGCCCCAATCCTCCTCTGGCCACACCCATCTTTTGTTCACCCCATCCATCCTTTGTTCACCCCATCCATATTCCCCTGGCCCATCCATCCATTGTTCACCCCATCCATATTCCTCTAGCCCCAATCCTCCTATGGCCCCACCCATCCTTTGTTCACCCCATCCATCCTTTGTTCACCCCATCCATATTCCCATGGCCCATCCATCCATTGTTCACCCCATCCATATTCCTCTAGCCCCAATCCTCCTCTGGCCCCACACATCCTTCTCTTCCCCCATCCATTTTCCTCTTATCCTTCTCTCAGCCCAACCCTCCTCTCACCCCAATCAATCTCCCCATAACCACAACCCATCCTCCTCACCCACCCACAGCCACTGTTTGAACAGAAGGAAACCTCACCTCCAGGGCCTTCTCACTCTGTCTGAGAGCATTCTCCGCCTTCCCTAACAAGTCCTTGAAGTTGCCCAGCTCACCGTCCTTCTTGCCCAGAGCTCGCATCAGATTCTACAAGCAACAACACTGGCAGTTCAACCACAGCTGGTATCAGTCTCCAGGAAGCTGACTTGCAACAGTCAGGAATACCTTGTGAGGGTACTTGTTTGTTTCCAAAGTATATATTCCGGCGATATGTACATAATTGAGTCTGGACCAGACAAACCAGCGACTGACAACACGAGCAATGATCCACACTGTTAGGGTACAATGTCATGCAATCAACCAAGTTACTGAGTCTGACCATGTGGTCCATTACGTTGCCCTGTACAAGAACAGGTTGGTGGTGAACACTGCATCCAGTCTGACCACTGGGTCCATTACGTCGCCCTGTACAAGGACAGGTTGCCATGGACCACTCGATTCAGTCTGACCACCGGGTCCATTACATCGCCCTGTACAAGGACAGGTTGCCATGGACCACTCGATTCAATCTGACCACCAGGGCCATTACGTCGCCCTGTACAAGGACAGGTTGCCATTGACCACTGCATCCAGTCTGACCACTCGGTCCATTACATCGCCTTGTACAAGGACACTTCATGGACCACTCGATTCAGTCTGACCACCCGGTTCATTACATCGCCCTGTACAAGGACAGGTTGCCATGGACCACTCGATTCAATCTGACCACAAGGGCCATTACCTCGCCCTGTACAAGGACACGTCATGGACCACTCGATTCAGTCTGACCACCCGGTTCATTACATCGCCCTGTATAAGGACAGGTTGCCATGGACCACTGGATCCAGTCTGACCACTGGGTCCATTACGTCGCCCGGTACAAGGACACGCCATGGACCCCCAAACAACCTACTTTGGAATTAAGTGTAATCAGAACCACATTATTTTCATAATTCCGAACTTTCTTGACTCACATTTCGCAGCAAGTTTGCACAGTTCTATGTGATCAAGTGTATGACCAACATGATGCGGTATACATATCAAAGCATCCCCATCTTTTGCACAACTCAGAAAACATATGCCTCACACTCCCCTCCATGGCATTTGATCTGTACTATCTTAGTATGATATACACTCTGTACTGCCCACTTCATTCTATCTTAGTATGATATACACTCTGTACTGCCCACTTCATTCTATCTTAGTATGATATACACTCTCTACTGCCCACTTCATTCTATCTTAGTATGATATACACTCTATACTGCCCACTTCATTCTATCTTAGTATGATATACACTCTATACTGCCCACTTCATTCTATCTTAGAAGGATATACACTCCAAACTACCCACCTTATTCTATCTTAGTTTGATATATTCTCTATTCTCCCCTCTTCATTCTCAGTATAATATACACTCTCGACTGTCCACTTGCTATAGAGACTAGTCTCCTGCAACAAGTTATACCTCAAGCTGGAGTTCATTTTCTCGTAGATTCTGCTCAAGCCGGGCTATTTTGGCATCAGCGCTGTCGATGTCTGAGTGAAACGTCTCCTCGGCCTGGTTATTGATGACACACAAACACTCAACACAAGTCAACACAACCAAAGTTAGTCAACACAACAAACAGCGATATATACATCACGCACACACAATGTAGCACTGACCATATGGCTATGACAGGAAGGGGAGCCAACACTGGCCACGTAACTGAGGTCTGGGGACATTGGAGGTTGTACCCAGCTCCTTCCCAGATCGTGACACCTTCGTTACACTCTCAGTAACATTGCTGCTGTCATGGTGGGTGCGGCCATTACAAGAATCTTGAAATTTGCCCTCTAACCCCAAATATAGTAACGTTTATAAATTCTGTTTATGTCTTTGGGAATGCCATCATAGCGAATTTTGGTTTACAACTGACCAGATTTCCCTGATGAATTTACCTTTTTGTTTGTTTGATCAGATTGGTTCAAGATTGCAGACAAATGGAAAATCACCCAACTTCTCCCTTACATTCTTACTATACCAATTACACATGATAGTTGAAAAGTTACATGATAGTATAGAGAGCCTGTGAAGGGACTATTGCTGTGAGGAGCATGGTCCTATTACAGGAAGGGGAGACAACACTGGCCATATAGCTTAGGTCTGGGGAACATTGAAGGTTCTACTACACCAATTCAGAATCAGTCTGTAAAGAGAATTCAGTGCAGACTGAATCATCTGGCAGCTGTGATTGGAGGATTTTGTGGATGATTTTTATGTTTCTTAAATGTACATCCATCCAGTAATTAAAACAGACGATGTTTTTCTATATTTAGTGCAGTTTTTTTTTAACATGATGACTTATGCTGAATGTGACCAGATATTTTCAAGCAAGTGCCGTTTGTTGTGGAACTGGGTGTGGTGTGCTTAGCTCCTGTACTCGGAACAGGAGCTGGCTAACCTAGTCAATCTTTTTTGTTTTTATTGCAGCTTTAAGGTCTGACTGTGCACACATGTATATATGTGATGGCTGTTGATTGTTAGTTATTTTTATAAAAAAGTATAATGTTACTATAGAAGCCTGAGGAAACATTTTGTTGTGTAACCTAAAGGCTACTACAGAAAGGGGAGACAACTCTGACCAAACATTTAAGGGTTTGGGGAACATTAAATGGATGCTATTATCTCTAATAACTCTCATTTTGTGTGCCATGGAAATCTTTTACTTGGATTGGGTTCATTTGGATCTTCTTTTTTTTTAATGATAAAAGGACTGTCACAGTTTCAAAATACTGCTGCTCACAATGGTCAGAACTTCATTGCTTCAGTGATATGCTATGAAATAAAAATGAAATAAATATGAAATACTGTTACATGCTGTCATCTTTATTTATGTTAAAACATAATATATTTAACCATGCTTGATGATGAATGAAAAAATAATAATTATTCAAAATCAAACATCTATACAACAAAATATGAATCCAATAAATAATAATTATTACAATACTAAGCCATGCATCAAACACTATTAAAACAGTCCATCACTGCAAACTAAGTATGTAGGAGTTAACTCCCTTCGTCAACAAGTAAACAAATACAATGAATTTTCTATGATGTGATTGTGTGGTTGGTGTAGTCACACAGGAGTTACCTCCCTTACCTGGTGTCTAGCCATCCTGGCTTCATGCAAGTCGACTCGGAGTTTCTTCATGTCCTCCTCCGATCTCAGCAGGTGCTCCTCCAGGGTGCCGGACTACAACACAGGACAAGGATAGAACTCAACATACATGTATACACCTCAGCAGGTGCTCCTCCAGGGTGCCGGACTACAACACAGGACAAGGATAGAACTCAACATACATGTATACACCTCAGCAGGTGCTCCTCCAGGGTGCTGGACTACAACACAGGACAAGGATAGAACTCAACATACATGTATACACCTCAGCAGGTGCTCCTCCAGGATGCCGGACTACAACACAGGACAAGGATAGAACACAACATACATGTATACACCTCAGCAGGTGCTCCTCCAGGGTGCCGGACTACAACACAGGACAAGGATAGAACACAACATACATGTATACACCTCAGCAGGTGCTCCTCCAGGATGCCGGACTACAACACAGGACAAGGATGGAACACACAACATACATGTATACACCTCAGCAGGTGCTCCTCCAGGGTGCCAGACTACAACACTGGACAAGGATAGAACACAACATACATGTATACACCTCAGCAGGTGCTCCTCCAGGATGCCGGACTACAACACAGGACAAGGATAGAACACAACATACATGTATACACCTCAGCAGGTGCTCCTCCAGGGTGCCGGACTACAACACAGGACAAGGATAGAACTCAACATACATGTATACACCTCAGCAGGTGCTCCTCCAGGATGCCGGACTACAACACAGGACAAGGATGGAACACACAACATACATGTATACACCTCAGCAGGTGCTCCTCCAGGATGCCGGACTACAACACAGGACAAGGATGGAACACACAACATACATGTATACACCTCAGCAGGTGCTCCTCCAGGGTGCCGGACTACAACACAGGACAAGGATAGAACACAACATACATGTATACACCTCAGCAGGTGCTCCTCCAGGGTGCCGGACTACAACACAGGACAAGGATGGAACACACAACATACATGTATACACCTCAGCAGGTGCTCCTCCAGGGTGCCGGACTACAACACAGGACAAGGATAGAACACAACATACATGTATACACCTCAGCAGGTGCTCCTCCAGGGTGCCGGACTACAACACAGGACAAGGATGGAACACACAACATACATGTATACACCTCAGCAGGTGCTCCTCCAGGATGCCAGACTACAACACTGGACAAGGATAGAACACAACATACATGTATACACCTCAGCAGGTGCTCCTCCAGGATGCCGGACTACAACACAGGACAAGGATAGAACACAACATACATGTATACACCTCAGCAGGTGCTCCTCCAGGATGCCGGACTACAACACAGGACAAGGATGGAACACACAACATACATGTATACACCTCAGCAGGTGCTCCTCCAGGGTGCCGGACTACAACACAGGACAAGGATAGAACACAACATACATGTATACACCTCAGCAGGTGCTCCTCCAGGGTGCCGGACTACAACACAGGACAAGGATGGAACACACAACATACATGTATACACCTCAGCAGGTGCTCCTCCAGGGTGCCGGACTACAACACAGGACAAGGATAGAACACAACATACATGTATACACCTCAGCAGGTGCTCCTCCAGGGTGCCGGACTACAACACTGGACAAGGATGGAACACACAACATACATGTATACACCTCAGCAGGTGCTCCTCCAGGATGCCGGACTACAACACAGGGCAAGGATGGAACACACAACATACATGTATACACCTCAGCAGGTGCTCCTCCAGGATGCCGGACTACAACACAGGACAAGGATGGAACATACAACATACATGTATACACCTCAGCAGGTGCTCCTCCAGGATGCCGGACTACAACACAGGGCAAGGATGGAACACACAACATACATGTATACACCTCAGCAGGTGCTCCTCCAGGATGCCGGACTACAACACAGGACAAGGATGGAACATACAACATACATGTGTACACCTCAGCAGGTGCTCCTCCAGGATGCCGGACTACAACACTGGACAAGGATGGAACATACAACATACATGTATACACCTCAGCAGGTGCTCCTCCAGGATGCCGGACTACAACACTGGACAAGGATGGAACATACAACATACATGTATACACCTCAGCAGGTGCTCCTCCAGGATGCCGGACTACAACACAGGACAAGGATGGAACACACAACATACATGTATACATCTCAGCAGGTGCTCCTCCAGGGTGCCGGACTACAACACAGGACAAGGATGGAACACACAACATACATGTATACATCTCAGCAGGTGCTCCTCCAGGGTGCCGGACTACAACACAGGACAAGGATAGAACACAACATACATGTATACACCTCAGCAGGTGCTCCTCCAGGGTGCCGGACTACAACACAGGACAAGGATGGAACACACAACATACATGTATACATCTCAGCAGGTGCTCCTCCAGGGTGCCGGACTACAACACTGGACAAGGATGGAACACAACATACATGTATACACCTCAGCAGGTGCTCCTCCAGGATGCCAGACTACAACACTGGACAAGGATGGAACATACAACATACATGTATACACCTCAGCAGGTGCTCCTCCAGGGTGCCGGACTACAACACTGGACAAGGATAGAACACAACATACATGTATACACCTCAGCAGGTGCTCCTCCAGGATGCCGGACTACAACACTGGACAAGGATAGAACACAACATACATGTATACACCTCAGCAGGTGCTCCTCCAGGGTGCCGGACTACAACACAGGACAAGGATGGAACATACAACATACACAGCTGCACCCTACCCCTCTCAACTCCTTGTTCTTGTCATGCAGAGCGACCATCGACCCCACCCCCATACACAGCTGCAACCCACCCCACAGCTGCACCCCCAGCCCCCCTTGTTCTTGTCATGCAGAGCGACCATCGACCCCACCCCCACACACAGCTGCAACCCACCCCACAGCTGCACCCCCAGCCCCCCTTGTTCTTGTCATGCAGAGCGACCATCGACCCCACCCCCACACACAGCTGCACCCCCAGCCCCCCTTGTTCTTGTCATGCAGAGCGACCATCGACCCCACCCCCACACACAGCTGCACCCCACCCCCCTCACCTCCTTGTTCTTGTCATGCAGAGCGACCATCGACCCCACCCACACACAGCTGCACCCCAGCCCCCCTCACCTCCTTGTTCTTGTCATGCAGAGCGACCATCGACCCCACCCCCACACACAGCTGCACCCCACCCCCCTCACCTCCTTGTTCTTGTCATGCAGAGCGACCATCGACCCCACCCCCACACACAGCTGCACCCCACCCCCCTCACCTCCTTGTTCTTGTCATGCAGAGCGACCATCGACCCCACCCACACACAGCTGCACCCCAGCCCCCCTCACCTCCTTGTTCTTGTCATGCAGAGCGACCACCAGTCCCTGTATGGTCTTGTCCCGCTTCAGACTGTTTTCCTCCAGACGGCTGATGTCTCGTTCCAGCGGGCGGATTTGGTTCTCCAGGTCCTGATGGAGGGAGAGGTAACAGTTACACATCATGTCACATAGACTATCCAATGGTTGATAGCAATGATACTGTCTCTATAAAGTCTACCCCAGTCAGCCCGAGTCCCCATACTTAGCAGCTATTCAAGGCATACACATAAAGACCAAAGAGGTCATTTTTATTTTCTCTTGTCACCAGAACACTCTCATTAAATAACTAATAACAACATATGTTCTATTTTCAGTACTCTAGTTTTTTTCTTGCGTACAGTAACACTAATGACAAGATAATGAAATATCTATGTTCATGTATTTCCTAACTAAGACTGATCCCTCCCTGGTCCCACACTGGGACCTCTCGTCACCTGGAATCATACACTACCGACAAATATACAGGAATGATTTCAACGTAGCTATCGCTATTGCACATAAACAATACCTTGGTGGTGCATCAGAACACAACATCTTATCACAATCAAACTTCCCATCATGCATGAACAGCATGTGACGCACACAGAAGCCAAAGTATGTGCACCTACGGGAAACTCACAATCACTGATGCAATTTAGCTTAGTAGAGGCTCAAAAATGCCTAAAAAACATTATCTCGATGAACAAGCGAAATGGAGATATGTGGGTACGATAAGAAATGACACCTAGACTAGATTGTCTCCTTGTATTAATGCTCTGCACAACAGATTCAAATCTGCTCCGGTTATCAATAGAAAATTCCCTACAATAACAGGGTGCAGCGATAGAAATTAACTGTTTTAGTCCACAAGTCCTTATGATAACATATAGTAAAACCCTTAAAAATGGCAAATTTCTACTGTCCTTATGACATCTTAAGTTTTGGGCAATTTGGCCAGGACTACAGGACTAGTGCCAATTTCTAACGCTGAGGATGACAAATTTCAACATCTCCTGTTGAAAACCAGATCTATGCAGCCTGTCTGAAAGCGGTGTCCTGTGAAGGGTGCGACCCTAACAGCTGACTTTAGGTGGCAAAGATAGGGGTGGGCTAGATAACACCAGGGACGGGCTGTGCGCAAATGGCATTACACCATGCTAACAGCTGACTTTAGGTGGCAAAGATAGGGGTGGGCTAGATAACACCAGGGACGGGCTGTGCGCCAATGGCATTACACCATGCTAACAGCTGACTTTAGGTGGCAAAGATAGGGGTGGGCTAGATAACACCAGGGACGGGCTGTGCGCCAATGGCATTACACCATGCTAACAGCTGACTTTAGGTGGCAAAGATAGGGGTGGGCTAGATAACACCAGGGACGGGTTGTGCGCCAATGGCATTACACCATGCTAACAGCTGACTTTAGGTGGCAAAGATAGGGGTGGGCTAGATAACACCAGGGACGGGCTGTGCGCAAATGGCATTACACCATGCTAACAGCTGACTTTAGGTGGCAAAGATAGGGGTGGGCTAGATAACACCAGGGACGGGTTGTGCGCCAATGGCATTACACCATGCTAACAGAAGAATCAAGGTCTTGCCTCCAAGTCACCGGTGGCAGGTATGTTGGAGATGTAGCAGTGAACGGTATACCAAGGCAACGATTCTTGACCATGATCGGTATGGGGTCGGTAGCGTCTTGGTGTGGAGTGGTATCACACATGACAGGCTAACTGATTAGGTTATTGTGAAAGGACATTAGACTGGCCAGTGATAAAGACAAAAAATTGCATCCTGTTGTTGTTGCTGGAATTTTGGCAGAAATTTTGAACTGCAAGATGACAATGCCAGACCACATCGTGCCCAGGTCGTCACCAATTACCTATGACGAGAAGGCATGCGGACATTGGACTGGCCTGCTAAGTGCCTGTACTCATTCCCAATAAGTGGCAGAGAGTGCATGCCAGAAACACAGCACCCACCAACATGGCTGAGGAGAATGTCAGGCAATACCAAGGGCAACCGTACACAAGCTAATCTACAGTATGCCCGGTGTTGTGCATGTATTGCCTAACATGGTGGATACCCCAAATATTGATCTACACGCCCGAAGTCAATATCACAGACTGGTCATTACACCTTCAATATAATTTCAGTTCCTTTATTTCTTTTCAGTAGTACATCATAGGCTTCTACCTGTTGAAGATGAGAAATTACCTCACCTTATTTTTCTCATCTTTGTCCCTCAAGGCATCTTCAAGTTTCTGAAAATAAACTGTGCTGTTAGTATCCAGGGATCTTATTAGGAACACGATCATGTCACAAGTTTTCAAGTTCTGGCTAATTTTTACTCCCCCAAAAGGTGACTGATTCATAGTTCTGGCTAGATCTTACTCCCAAAACAGATGATTCGCGGTTCTGCAAGGTCTTACTCCCCAAATAGATGACTGACTCACAGTTCTGGCTATATCTTTCTCCCAAAACAGATGATTCACTGTTCTGACTAGGACTTACTCCCCAAACAGATTATTCACAGTTCTGCAAGGTCTTACTCCCCAAATAGATGACCTATTCACAGTCCTGGCTTGATCTTACTCCCCAAATAGAAGGCTGATTCAAGAAGATGACCTACCCCTATGGCATCCTACCCGTGTCGACTTACCCCTATGCCGACCTACGCCTATGGTGTTGTCCTTGTCCTGGAGCTGACTCTGCAGGTTGTCCAGCCTGTCCTGGATTTTGCCCCTGTGGTGACCTACACCTGTGGCGCCCTACCCCTGTTGAGACCTACCCCTGTGGTGACCTACCCCTGAGGCGACCTACCCCTAAGGCGACCTACCCCGATGTCAACCTACCCCTATGGTGTTGTCCTTGTCCTGGAGCTGACTCTGCAGGTTGTTCAGCCTTTCCTGGAGCTTGCCCAGATTCTCCTGCTGGTCGTCCACCACGTCCTGCAACACAGCACCGTCAGTCCAAGGAACCACACAACACATATATGTTCCTTCATGTAATCATTCATCACTGAGTAATGGACTCAACATTGTGTCAGGCAACAGAAAACACCAAGCCTGTCTTGGAAATCATTCTCAAGTAAAGAAGACATGAAAATCTACTTTCACATTCCTGAAGAAAGAAACAAGGAGCATTGACGAGATGAAGGAGAGCATGCAACAGTGGTACATGTGACATTCAGCGTAGCAGGGCCAGCACATCAGGACCTCTGGCAGTCCCAGAGACAGAGCTACTGTACCAACATACATCACACAAGATGGCGGGGAAGTTATCAACACACAGAGATTACAGTTACCTTACATAGGATAGCCGCTGGTCTGTATTAAAAGCATCCATCTTTATTATTCAATCTCACTGCACCGGTGCATCGTGAGTTTGTTATGTGATGATATGATACACGATACGTTTTGTTCTGTATCGATACAAGACAATACACTCGCTAAAAGAAATTACTTACTACTTGTAAAATGATACCAGCCATTTTTGTAGGTCAAATATCCTGAAATGTGTTGTAATTAGGGTTTAAGTTCACTACTAAAAAGAACTGCTTTGAACATGTTTCTACAGCTAACTTTACCTTTTGAACCTGCTCTGAAATATTTCTAGGCAAGAAGTTTTCATGTGATTTGACGTAAATATGCATATCGCGATATATTGTATTGCGAGCTATACATCGTGATACGTATCGTATTGTGATCTATATATTGTGATACGTATCGTATAGTGATCTATATATCGTGATACGTATCGTATTGTGATCTATATATGTGATATGTATTGTATTGTGACCTTGCTGTATTGTTTCATCCCTAGTTGTTGGTGGTGATTTTGTTGCACCAGGCCAACGTGTTGACTCGAGGGGACTGATCTAAGCTACAGAGGATCCTGGGAGGGTTGACCAACCTGGAGGTGGTTGTGAGCCAGGAAGGAGTCTGTGTCCACAGTGCGGGCTTCCTTCAGGGCACTAGACAGTTGCTGCATGCAAGAAAACAGGCACAGTCACAACACAGAGACATGCTTCACAGCAGCGGATGGTAGAATCTCTACCCCTCCCACACCCGCCCAGTCACAACAAAGAGACATGCTTCACAGCAGCGGATGGTAGAATCTCTACCCCTCCAACACCCGCCCAGTCACAACACAGAGACATGCATCACAGCAGCGGATCGTAGAATCTCTACCCCTCCAACACCCGCCCGGTCACAACACAGAGGCATGCTTCACAGCAGCGGATGGTAGAATCTCACCCCTTCCTAAGAAACATTACCCTGCAAGATAACTACTTTCTGCTCTACACTCAGGCACCAGCCCCTATCTCTGTGTCTCTGGTTTCTACCCAGTACAGAATCTGCTGTGAAGCTGTCACTACAACATCAATACATGCAGACTGGTTAGATGACATAAAAGATGATACGAATTAGACTCAACATTTAGGAGACAGAGAGCCTACCTGCAATCAACAGGTGTGTTAAACGCAGGCCACATGCTGAAGTACAATCACATGGAGCCGGGGAGTCAGGCCATGCAGTAGATGCCTGCATGCTGGGCAAGTCACCCATGTCACTACCTCTGCCTTGCCTTCACTGTCAATGGCCCCACCCGTGCTGACGTGCATTTCTCTACTTTTGACCAACCACCAGTCCTGCCTAATGTATCTACTCTTATGTCTGACCCACAAATCTGCCCTGCCCATCTTCTCATATGTATCTGCCCCGCCCACATGCTTTGCCCATCTCCTCACGTGTCTGCCCCACCCATCTCACATGTGTCTGACCCAACCACATGCCCCGCCCATCTCCTCATGTGTCTGACCCACCCACATGCCCCGCCCATCTCCTCACATGTGTCTGACCCACCCACATGCCCCGCCCATCTCCTCACATGTGTCTGACCCACCCATCTCACATGTGTCTGACCCATCCATCTCACATGTGTCTGACCCACCCATCTCACATGTGTCTGACCCACCCACATGCCCAGCCCATCTCCTCACGTGTCTGACCCACCCACATGCCCCGACCATCTCCTCACGTGTCTGACCCACCCACATGCCCCGACCATCTCCTCACATGTGTCTGACCCACCCACATGCCCCGCCCATCTCCTCACATGTGTCTGACCCACCCATCTCACATGTGTCTGACCCATCCATCTCACATGTGTCTGACCCACCCATCTCACATGTGTCTGACCAACCCACATGCCCAGCCCATCTCCTCACGTGTCTGACCCACCCACATGCCCCGACCATCTCCTCACATGTGTCTGACCCACCCACATGCCCCGACCATCTCCTCACATGTGTCTGACCCACCCACATGCCCCGCCCATCTCCTCATGTGTCTGACCCACCCACATGCCCCGCCCATCTCCTCACATGTGTCTGACCCACCCACATGCCCCGCCCATCTCCTCACATGTGTCTGACCCACCCATCTCACATGTGTCTGACCCATCCATCTCACATGTGTCTGACCCACCCATCTCACATGTGTCTGACCCACCCACATGCCCAGCCCATCTCCTCACGTGTCTGACCCACCCACATGCCCCGACCATCTCCTCACGTGTCTGACCCACCCACATGCCCCGACCATCTCCTCACATGTGTCTGACCCACCCACATGCCCCGCCCATCTCCTCACATGTGTCTGACCCACCCATCTCACATGTGTCTGACCCATCCATCTCACATGTGTCTGACCCACCCATCTCACATGTGTCTGACCAACCCACATGCCCAGCCCATCTCCTCACGTGTCTGACCCACCCACATGCCCCGACCATCTCCTCACATGTGTCTGACCCACCCACATGCCCCGACCATCTCCTCACATGTGTCTGACCCACCCACATGCCCCGCCCATCTCCTCACATGTGTCTGACCCACCCACATGCACTGCCCATCACCTCACATGTGTCTATCTGATTAATAAAATAACGTGTCTATCTGATTAATCAAATAACGTGTCTACCCTCTTTATCAACTTACATGTGTCTTCCCCATCAATCTACTCAGCTTTGTCTGCCCTGAGAACAAGCCCTGTCCTGCCCAGCGTACATGCCTGCCCAGCGTACATGTCTGCCCCCCCCCCCACCTTACCAAACTCTCAAGTGTCTGCCCTGCCCACCTTCTCACTAGAATTTCTGTCTCGCAAACCTACTCACCAACATGTCTGCCCAGCCCATCTACTCACCAACATGTCTGCCCAGCCCATCTACTCACCAACATGTCTGCCCAGCCCATCTACTCACCAACATGTCTGCCCAGCCCATCTACTCACCAGCATGTCTGCCCAGCCCATCTACTCACCAGCATGTCTGCCCAGCCCATCTACTCACCATCATGCCCAGCCCATCTACTCACCAGCATGCCCAGCCCATCTACTCACCAGCATGTCTGCCCAGCCCATCTACTCACCATCATGCCCAGCCCATCTACTCACCAGCATGTCTGCCCAGCCCATCTACTCTTCATCATGCCCAGCCCATCTACTCACCAGCATGTCTGCCCAGCCCATCAACTCACCGGCATGTCTGCCCAGCCCATCTACTCACCAGCATGTCCCGGTCGCGTCGGTCCAGCTCCTTCTGCAGGTGGTCCAGTCTGCCCTGCAGCTCCTGCCTCTCCCCACCCGCCTCCACCAGCCTGGTGTCCAGCTGACATGCTCGGTCAACCTCTGCCTCCAGCCTCCCTGACAGCTCCCCGATGTCTCTGTAGCAGAAGTACACACTTCATCACCATCATAACAATGACTCACTTTCTCCTGTTTCTTCAAAATTTAAATTATTTTTAGTTAGTTAGGATAATAAACTAAATTCAAACAAACATCACAAAGGAGGTTTTACTACTATTTTAAATTCGCACAACAAACAATAATACTTTTCTTTATACAGAAATGAAATGTAATTTTCTAAGTTATTTGAGGCAATTCCTCAAATCTAAGACAAAAATGGGAACATTGACCATCCTTAACAACACTTACTTTTCTTTGGCGGCCGCCATCTCTTTGAGTTTCTGCAAAAAGAATTACAATGAATTCAGGCTTTTGACATATTTCAACACCAACAACAGCAGTACCTCACTACAGAAATATATCAATGACATTGCTGACTGATTGACCTGTTGTCTTACAGTTTGTGGGCGGCCTTACTGACCTGTTGTCTTACAATTTGTGGGCGGCCTCACTGACCTGTTGTCTTACAGATTGTGGGCGGCCTCAATGACCAGTTGTCTTACAGATTGTGGGCGGCCTCACTGACCTGTTGTCTTACAGATTGTGGGCGGCCTCACTGACCTGTTGTCTTACAGTTTGTGAGCGGCCTCACTGACCTGTTGTCTTACAGTTTGTAGGCGGCCTCAATGACCTGTTGCATTACAGTTTGTGGGCGGCCTCAATGACCTGTTGCATTACAGTTTGTGGGCGGCCTCACTGACCTGTATTTCCAGGGAGCGTTTGTGGGCAGCCTCACTGACCTGTATTTCCAGGGAGTGTTTGTGGGCGGCCTCACTGGCCTGTATTTCCAGGGAGTGTTTGTGGGCGGCCTCACTGACCTGTATTTACAGGGAGTGTTTGTGGGCGGCCTCACTGACCTGTATTTACAGGGAGTGTTTGTGGGCGGCCTCACTGACCTGTATTTCCAGGGAGTGTTTGTGGGCGGCCTCACTGACCTGTATTTCCAGGGAGTGTTTGTGGGCGGCCTCACTGGCCTGTATTTCCAGGGAGTGTTTGTGGGCGGCCTCACTGGCCTGTATTTCCAGGGAGTGTTTATGGGCGGCCTCACTGACCTGTATTTCCAGGGAGTGTTTGTGGGCGGCCTCACTGGCCTGTATTTCCAGGGAGTGTTTGTGGGCGGCCTCACTGACCTGTATTTCCAGGGAGTGTTTGTGGGCGGCCTCACTGACCTGTATTTCCAGGGAGTGTTTGTGGGCGGCCTCACTGACCTGTATTTCCAGGGAGTGTTTGTGGGCGGCCTCACTGGCCTGTATTTCCAGGGAGTGTTTGTGGGCGGCCTCACTGACCTGTATTTCCAGGGAGTGTTTGTGGGCGGCCTCACTGGCCTGTATTTCCAGGTAGTGTTTGTGGGAGGCCTCACTGGCCTGTGTTTCCAGGGAGTGTTTGTGGGCGGCCTCACTGACCTGTATTTCCAGGGAGTGTTTGTGGGCGGCCTCACTGACCTGTATTTCCAGGGAGTGTTTGTGGGCGGCCTCACTGACCTGTATTTCCAGGGAGTGTTTGTGGGCGGCCTCACTGGCCTATGTTTCCAGGGAGTGTTTGTGGGCGGCCTCACGGACCTGTATTTCCAGGGAGTGTTTGTGGGTGGCCTTACTGGCCTGTATTTCCAGGGAGTGTTTGTGGGAGGCCTCACTGACCTGTGTTTCCAGGGAGTGTTTGTGGGCAGCCTCACTGACCTGTATTTCCAGGGAGTGTTTGTGGGCGGCCTCACTGACCTGTATTTCCAAGGAGTGTTTGTGGGCGGCCTCACTGGCCTATGTTTCCAGGGAGTGTTTGTGGGCGGCCTTACTGGCCTGTATTTCCAGGAAGTGTTTTTGGGCGGCCTCACGGACCTGTATTTCCAGGGAGTGTTTGTGGGCGGCCTCACTGACCTGTATTTCATGGGAGTGTTTGTGGGCGGCCTCACTGACCTGTATTTCTAGGGAGTATTTGTGGGCGGCCTTACTGGCCTGTATTTCATGGGAGTGTTTGTGGGCGGCCTCACTGACCTGTATTTCTAGGGAGTATTTGTGGGCGGCCTTACTGGCCTGTATTTCATGGGAGTGTTTGTGGGCGGCCTCACTGACCTGTATTTCTAGGGAGTGTTTGTGGGCGGCCTTACTGGCCTGTATTTCATGGGAGTGTTTGTGGGCGGCCTCACTGACCTGTATTTCTAGGGAGTATTTGTGGGCGGCCTCACTGACCTGTATTTCCATGGAGTGTTTGTGGGCGGCCTCGTGCGCCGTGTTGAGGGCCTCCATGCGCAGCTCCAGCTCATGCTCCATCATCCCCATCTTCTGCTGCGTCTCTCGCAACTCCCCAATCAGCGGCATTGACTCCTACAACATCACCAACAGTAATGTCAACTAAGCAATAAAATTACACTTTATTGCCAAAAATGGAACGTATGTGTTAAGTCTCACCATTAAATACACAAATACCACATTTTGTTCAAAAATGAAACCAAACAGGATTTTCAATATGGCTGCTGTGCTGGCCATATTGAAAATCTTATTATTACATCTTGAAAAAATTGGTCCTATGTTTTCACAGTGCAAATAAATGCACTTAAATGAATTTAGGAGCATGGTCAAAAACCAAGTTTAAGATTTAAGATTAAGTTCTGAACAATGGAACGTATTTGTTTAGCCGCACAACTGACTAAAATTATACCAAATGCCGGGAACAAGTTTCTTCTTCATGGGTCCAGTAATTTTTTAGGATAAGATTTTTACGACAGACGACTGACGCCAGGCAAACAAGTCATGAGATAAGCTTACTTGTCTTTGTCAGGTGAGCCAATAAATTAAAATACTTTGTCTGAAAGAAATCAAACTACACAACAACAAAACAGGATCCTCTTTTGCAAACTGTTAGTGATACCATCTCTTGGCTTACTTCCCCAATAGAAATTCCCCCCAAAAATTGTGATTAAAGTCACAATGAAAATCACAAAAACTGACACAGCATGATCTAAGCAGGCTGGACAGGGACGGACATAGTCCTGGCAGATGAAGGATCATTGTCACTGATTCAACCTCATGAGCAGAGGATCAAAGGGAGGCAACTCTGCATGTTAGACCCCGGTGATGGTGGGTTTGTACAATGCTGTGCTGCAGCAGGTGCTTGTGTGAGTGACCTACCCTATTCCTGTCCTGCTGCATCTGACTGCGGATGTGATTCAGCTCTGTCTCATGGTTGCTGGTGAGACTCTCCATGGCCGTGCTGCACAGAGAGGACACAAACTGGTATGACAACAAATGTTATATCTGGGATAACACTTTCAAAGTAAAGTACATGTTGGGGTTGACTTCCATATAAACGCACACTCCCTAAGTAAGGCTCCCATGATCTAGACTTCCATATCTGGGAAGCCTCAATGGCTGAGTGAGTTAGATCGCTGACTTTGTGTCTTGGCAATGCATCACAGTTGCATCTCTTCCCCATCTCCCCGCCCACCACCTGACTCATCTACCTGCCACCATCACCACCCTGCCCATCCCTCCGACAAATCTCCCCACCCACCTGTCCCTCCCTCTGACAGTTCTCCCCACCCACCTGTCCCTCCCTCCGACAGTTCTCCCCACCCACCTGTCCCTCCCTCCGACAGTTATCCCCACCCATGTCCCTCCCTCCAACAGTTCTCCCCACCCACCTGTCCCTCCCTCCAACAGTTCTCCCCACCCACCTGTCCCTCCCCCGACAGTTCTCCCCACCCACCTGTCCCTCCCTCGACAGTTCTCCCCATCCACCTGTCCCTCCCTCCGACAGTTCTCCCCATCCATCTGTCCCTCCCTCCGACAGTTCTCCCCACCCACCTGTCCCTCCCTCCGACAGTTCTCCCCATCCATCTGTCCCTCCCTCCGACAGTTCTCCCCATGAACCTGTCCCTCCCTCCAACAGTTCTCCCCATCAACCTGTCCCGCCCTCCGACAGTTCTCCCCATCAACCTGTCCCTCCCTCCGACAGTTCTCCCCATCAACCTGTCCCTCCCTTCGACAGTTCTCCCCATCAACCTGTCCCTCCCTCCGACAGTTCTCCCCACCCATCTGTCCCTCCCCCGACAGTTCTCCCCACCCACCTGTCCCTCCCTCCAACAGTTCTCCCCATCCACCTGTCCCTCCCTCCAACAGTTCTCCCCACCCACCTGTCCCTCCCTCCAACAGTTTTCCACACCCACCTGTCCCTCCCTCCGACAGTTCTCCCCACCCACCTGTCCCTCCCTCCAACAGTTTTCCACACCCACCTGTCCCTCCCTCCAACAGTTTTCCACACCCACCTGTCCCTCCCTCCAACAGTTTTCCACATCCATCTGTCCCTCCCCCGACAGTTCTTCCAACCCACCTGTCCCTCCCTCCGACAGTTCTCTCCACCCACCTGGCCCCCCCCGACAGTTCTCCCCATCCACCTGTCCCTCCCCCAATAGTTCTCCCCATCCACCTGTCCCTCCCCCCCCCGACAGTTTTCCACACCCACCTGGCCTTCTTCAGCAGCTCCTGTTTGTCCATCAGCTCCTTCTTTAGACTCTCCACCTGGACCTTCAGCTCGATGTTCTGCAGCGACACAGTATAACATGATAACATACACCCACATACAACAATTTAACCAAAACAGTGGAACCACGCTTATCCGGAAACATCACATACCGTATATGACCGCGTATAAGCCGAATTTTGAGGACTAGAAAAAAGATTCTGCAGAAAGGGGTCGGCTTATCCACGGGATACACTTTCATGACAGTATTTTTCAGATCGTGATCTGTCAGAAACATCGCCTGAATGACGGTCCGATAGATTACAACTTCCCAAAAGTTTGGAAGTTGCCACGACTATAACCATTATTGTTATAAATTATCAATAAAGTTATTATTATACACCAATGTCGTCATTATTAAAAAAATGTTATGCATGTTACTACTTCCGATAATAAGTTTTCAATTGAATGTTCAAAGTTTATCGTTCTTCATAAACTCTTAAATCTTTACATGTAACAATATATGTAATTCACAGCTATAATATATAATCCCCAGATGAAATCGCCAATAGCTATTACGTACGTTTTGCAAAGTTCATAAATTGATAGTGAACAAATGTCTACCTTTATTGTAAGAGGCAAATAAACAACTGTATCGGCGAGTTATTCCGTTCGCCATTTGCAAAAACATGTGATCAGCTGTTTCCTGTGGCGTCACAAACGGTGACCACTGTGATTGCTTCCTGTTGTTTAAAAAGCAACCCGGTACACAAGGAAATGAGCACTGATAATAACGGGCCGATTGGTATTGTCATGTTGTTTACACAAACATTATCAAGTTGTGGGTGCTTAGCGATCGTGTTGGGAGTAGGGGCTTAATTCCTTTGTTTTCGAGAGATTAGTTAATAAACTGCAGAAGCCTGTGAGTAAGTGATGGTCATTCAATGTGTTCATAGTATGATAGTTTATTTAATTCAATTGGATTAACATACAATAGTGGTGTAAAGGGGGTCCAAAAGTTGGTATATTTTTACTGACTGACAATCTCATCACGAGTTTGAAACGAAAACGCCATGCTTACGATGCTGAATTCAAACTGCGAGTCTTCGCTCTAGCTGATATATTTTTTCACGGGTTCATAATTCTATATACACCGATTCACAAAATGGCGCTTCGTTGTTGATGGCAACATATAACGATCATTATGAAATTAAAAAAAAACAAGAGAAACAGCTTCCCACATTAGGAAAGTGGATGACTGGTTTGTTAAATCTTTATTAGAAATAATAATGACTTTTTCAATATAATTACAACGTTTTTCATCTTATATTTTTTAATATCTGCGAGTACCGGCAGATGTCTTGCAGTCCGACTTCGCAGTGTTTTTTTGCCTTTCATATCCTGGTACGTCTTATCTGCGGGTCATATCATTTTCTCTCGTATTTCAATGGTCAAGTTAGCACCTCGGCTTATCTACGAGGTCGGCTTATCCGCGGTCATATACGGTACCGACGAAATTTACATGAAACAAATAAAATGGTTCATTTATCAGAAACTTTGGTTTCCGTATCCTGACTAGTCCTTGTTTCAGCCCCTTAATGAGGCGTGCAAGGCAGGGTAACAACAAGTATAATTTTTTAACGTCTTTTGTTAAGACGCAGACGATTTCTGGGTGGACGCTCTACCACGAAGGCAGTCTATCCAGAAAGGGACCTTCAATTACCAACAGTGCCAAATACACACTATTGTGTCCCACTTCCTGGACAGCGACCACTTTACGATGTTTGTTTCGCAAATCATCACCTGGCAGCCAACATCAAAGAATCAGGAATCATGTGATCACAGAGTTAAAATAATCCTGTTATTACACAATCTTGTTATAACAAGTGTCCATTGTAAATCCGAACTGTAATCAGGACTGTTTGTAATCCATTTTATTCAAAATTTCATTGAAAGTTGTTTACATTGACTTCAGCGAAATCCTGTGAACAGATCAGCACAAACTCACAGTTATTTACAGCAACCATGTGCACAATCAGATTATCGCTGTTGACACTTTGAAACAAACAAACTTTTGTGCCTCTTTAGAATTTGGGTAGAGGAAGTAAGCCTAGTCAGTTGACAAGGGATTCTTTTATCTGGATAATATTTGAAAAATAACAAGTTTCCGGAAAAGCGTGGTTCGACTGTACACCCACACTGTACAAAGAAACCCATACATACACATGACAAAGTACAACACATTTAAACAGTACAACATCTACACAACACAGCACAACACATTGAAACAGTTCAACAGATATACACAGCACTAAGCATACACATAGTATGGACCTTCACTGTGTAACTCCATGGTTTGTTTGTTTGTTTGTTTGTTGTTTAAGTCAGCAATATTCCAGCTATAAGACGGTGGTCTGTAAATAATCAGGTCTGGACCAGACAATCCAGTGACTGACATCATAAGCATTGATCTACGCAGATTAGATGACATGCATCAACCAAGTCAGCGAGCCTGACAACCCGATTCCGATAGACGCCTCTTATGACAAGCATAGTCGCCTTTTACGTCAAGCATGGGTTGCTGTAGACCTATTCTTCCCTGTATCTTCACATGTTGTAACTCCACGGAAAACTAATCAATGTACAATGTTCAATGTTTGTTTGAAGTTATAGACCATTAAAAGGTGTGGAACACTATCTCTAGCCTGGTGAGTTGTAAAACAGACATGGCATTCAACAACTACTGTGAATCTGAGAGGACTAAAAGCTAAAAAATAATTGTACAAATGACAAAACATTCAGAACAAAATAATAGTTCCATGTCCATAGCTCAGGTTTGTTTGTTATGACTATATGACAGCAGCCTGTAAATAATCAAGTCTGGACCAGACAATCCTGTGATTGGGATTGGGATACGATGACATGCATCAATCAAGTCAGCGAGCCTGACCACCCGGTCCATTTCGTTGCTTCATTTCACATATCTGACGGACAACATCCACGATACGTTACCTCTCTCATTTCATCCCCGACCAGTAAGCAACAAGGAAACAAGAAATTCATGTACAAAGAATTCAATATTTCCACCAACTGATGACTAAACTTACAAGACTGGGAGAACAACGCATCTGAATACTTCAGTGTCATGTTGACATTCTCACAGTGGTTGTTGGAGGGAAATGGAAATAATGTTACAGTGCCCAGACAAGCAAACCATGGTTAGATAGCTGCATTCTTTAATATCCTAACACAATAGCTCAGAATGAGGGTACCAGCGTCAGCAGTGGCAGGTTTCACTGTAGCAACATAATCATGCCAGATTCCGGGGTGACGGGTGCCCTGCAAGTTATGACATGTCAGTGTTCTACTTACTGTCTTCACAAGACATGTCAGTGTTCTACTTACTGTCTGCACCAAGACATGTCAGTGTTCTACTTACTGTCTTCACAAGACATGTCAGTGTTCTATTTACTGTCTTCACAAGACATGTCAGTGTTCTACTTACTGTCTGCACCAAGACATGTCAGTGTTCTACTTACTGTCTTCACAAGACATGTCAGTGTTCTATTTACTGTCTTCACAAGACATGTCAGTGTTCTACTTACTGTCTGCACCAAGACATGTCAGTGTTCTACTTACTGTCTTCACAAGACATGTCAGTGTTCTATTTACTGTCTTCACAAGACATGTCAGTGTTCTATTTACTGTCTTCACAAGGCATGTCAGTGTTCTATTTACTGTCTTCACAAGGCATGTCAGTGTTCTACTTACTATCTGCACCAGGACATGTCAGTGTTCTATTTACTGTCTTCACAAGACATGTCAGTGTTCTATTTACTGTCTTCACAAGACATGTCAGTGTTCTATTTACTGTCTTCACAAGGCATGTCAGTGTTCTACTTACTGTCTTCACAAGGCATGTCAGTGTTCTACTTACTGTCTTCACAAGGCATGTCAGTGTTCTACTTACTGTCTTCACAAGGCATGTCAGTGTTCTACTTACTGTCTTCACAAGACATGTCAGTGTTCTATTTACTGTCTTCACAAGGCATGTCAGTGTTCTACTTACTGTCTTCACAAGGCATGTCAGTGTTCTACTTACTGTCTTCACAAGGCATGTCAGTGTTCTATTTACTGTCTTCACAAGGCATGTCAGTGTTCTACTTACTGTCTTCACAAGGCATGTCAGTGTTCTATTTACTGTCTTCACAAGACATGTCAGTGTTCTACTTACTGTCTTCACAAGGCATGTCAGTGTTCTACTTACTGTCTTCACAAGGCATGTCAGTGTTCTATTTACTGTCTTCACAAGGCATGTCAGTGTTCTACTTACTGTCTTCACAAGGCATGTCAGTGTTCTATTTACTGTCTTCACAAGACATGTCAGTGTTCTACTTACTGTCTTCACAAGGCATGTCAGTGTTCTATTTACTGTCTTCACAAGGCATGTCAGTGTTCTACTTACTGTCTTCACAAGGCATGTCAGTGTTCTATTTACTGTCTTCACAAGACATGTCAGTGTTCTACTTACTGTCTGCACCAAGACATGTCAGTGTTCTACTTACTGTCTGCACCAAGACATGTCAGTGTTCTACTTACTATCTGCACCAGGACATGTCAGTGTTCTACTTACTGTCTGCACCAAGACATGTCAGTGTTCTACTTACTGTCTGCACCAAGACATGTCAGTGTTCTACTTACTGTCTGCACCAAGACATGTCAGTGTTCTACTTACTGTCTGCACCAAGACATGTCAGTGTTCTACTTACTGTCTTCACAAGGCATGTCAGTGTTCTACTTACTGTCTTCACAAGGCATGTCAGTGTTCTATTTACTGTCTTCACAAGGCATGTCAGTGTTCTACTTACTGTCTTCACAAGGCATGTCAGTGTTCTATTTACTGTCTTCACAAGACATGTCAGTGTTCTACTTACTGTCTTCACAAGGCATGTCAGTGTTCTACTTACTGTCTTCACAAGGCATGTCAGTGTTCTATTTACTGTCTTCACAAGGCATGTCAGTGTTCTACTTACTGTCTTCACAAGGCATGTCAGTGTTCTATTTACTGTCTTCACAAGACATGTCAGTGTTCTACTTACTGTCTTCACAAGGCATGTCAGTGTTCTACTTACTGTCTTCACAAGGCATGTCAGTGTTCTATTTACTGTCTTCACAAGGCATGTCAGTGTTCTACTTACTGTCTTCACAAGGCATGTCAGTGTTCTATTTACTGTCTTCACAAGGCATGTCAGTGTTCTACTTACTGTCTTCACAAGGCATGTCAGTGTTCTATTTACTGTCTTCACAAGACATGTCAGTGTTCTACTTACTGTCTTCACAAGGCATGTCAGTGTTCTACTTACTGTCTTCACAAGGCATGTCAGTGTTCTATTTACTGTCTTCACAAGGCATGTCAGTGTTCTACTTACTGTCTTCACAAGGCATGTCAGTGTTCTATTTACTGTCTTCACAAGGCATGTCAGTGTTCTACTTACTGTCTTCACAAGGCATGTCAGTGTTCTATTTACTGTCTTCACAAGACATGTCAGTGTTCTACTTACTGTCTTCACAAGGCATGTCAGTGTTCTACTTACTGTCTTCACAAGGCATGTCAGTGTTCTATTTACTGTCTTCACAAGGCATGTCAGTGTTCTACTTACTGTCTTCACAAGGCATGTCAGTGTTCTATTTACTGTCTTCACAAGACATGTCAGTGTTCTACTTACTGTCTTCACAAGGCATGTCAGTGTTCTATTTACTGTCTTCACAAGGCATGTCAGTGTTCTACTTACTGTCTTCACAAGGCATGTCAGTGTTCTACTTACTGTCTTCACAAGGCATGTCAGTGTTCTATTTACTGTCTTCACAAGACATGTCAGTGTTCTACTTACTGTCTTCACAAGGCATGTCAGTGTTCTACTTACTGTCTTCACAAGGCATGTCAGTGTTCTATTTACTGTCTTCACAAGGCATGTCAGTGTTCTACTTACTGTCTTCACAAGGCATGTCAGTGTTCTATTTACTGTCTTCACAAGGCATGTCAGTGTTCTACTTACTGTCTTCACAAGGCATGTCAGTGTTCTATTTACTGTCTTCACAAGACATGTCAGTGTTCTACTTACTGTCTTCACAAGGCATGTCAGTGTTCTACTTACTGTCTTCACAAGGCATGTCAGTGTTCTATTTACTGTCTTCACAAGGCATGTCAGTGTTCTACTTACTGTCTTCACAAGGCATGTCAGTGTTCTATTTACTGTCTTCACAAGACATGTCAGTGTTCTACTTACTGTCTTCACAAGGCATGTCAGTGTTCTATTTACTGTCTTCACAAGGCATGTCAGTGTTCTACTTACTGTCTTCACAAGGCATGTCAGTGTTCTATTTACTGTCTTCACAAGACATGTCAGTGTTCTACTTACTGTCTGCACCAAGACATGTCAGTGTTCTACTTACTGTCTGCACCAAGACATGTCAGTGTTCTACTTACTATCTGCACCAGGACATGTCAGTGTTCTACTTACTGTCTGCACCAAGACATGTCAGTGTTCTACTTACTGTCTGCACCAAGACATGTCAGTGTTCTACTTACTATCTGCACCAAGACATGTCAGTGTTCTACTTACTATCTGCACCAGGACATGTCAGTGTTCTACTTACTATCTGCACCAGGACATGTCAGTGTTCTACTTACTGTCTGCACCAAGACATGTCAGTGTTCTATTTACTGTCTGCACCAAGACATGTCAGTGTTCTATTTACTGTCTTCACAAGACATGTCAGTGTTCTACTTACTGTCTGCACCAAGACATGTCAGTGTTCTACTTACTATCTGCACCAAGACATGTCAGTGTTCTACTTACTATCTGCACCAGGACATGTCAGTGTTCTACTTACTATCTGCACCAGGACATGTCAGTGTTCTACTTACTATCTGCACCAGGACATGTCAGTGTTCTACTTACTATCTGCACCAAGACATGTCAGTGTTCTACTTACTGTCTGCACCAGGACATGTCAGTGTTCTACTTACTGTCTGCACCAAGACATGTCAGTGTTCTACTTACTATCTGCACCAGGACATGTCAGTGTTCTACTTACTGTCTGCACCAGGACATGTCAGTGTTCTACTTACTGTCTGCACCAGGACATGTCAGTGTTCTACTTACTGTCTGCACCAGGACATGTCAGTGTTCTACTTACTGTCTGCACCAGGACATGTCAGTGTTCTACTTACTATCTGCACCAGGACATGTCAGTGTTCTACTTACTGTCTGCACCAGGACATGTCAGTGTTCTACTTACTATCTGCACCAGGACATGTCAGTGTTCTACTTACTGTCTGCACCAGGACATGTCAATGTTCAACATTCTACTTACTGTTTTGAAGACATCCTCCCCATCCCCAAACTTCTGCTGCATCCGTTCCTCCAAGAAGTAGATTCGCAGCTTCAGACTGAAGTTCTCTTTCTTCAGCTCTGCAATTTGCTGAAACACCGACACATACGATTTGTAGTCAAACAGATACATACCATTCTGTAGTAAAACACAGACACATCCTGTTGTGAAACATAAGACACATTCCATTCTGTAGTCAAAGAGATACATAAGATTCTGTAGTCAAAAAGACACATGCCATCCTGTAGTCAAACACAGACACATGCCACTTTGTAATCAAACAGACACATACCACTTTGAAGTCAAACAGATACATACCATTCTGTAGTCAAACAGACACATACCATCCTGTAGTCAAACACAGACACATTCCATTCTGTAGTCAAACACAGCACATTCTATCTATAGTCAAACACAGACACATGCCATTCTGTAGTCAAACACAGACACATTCCATTTTGTAGTCAAACACAGCACATTCCATCTATAGTTATACACAGACACATACCACTTTGAAGTCAAACACAGACACATTCCATCTATAGTCAAACAGACACATGCCATTCTGTAGTCAAACACAGACACATTCCATTTTGTAGTCAAACACAGACACATTCCATCTATAGTCAAACACAGACACATGCCATTCTGTAGTCAAACACAGACACATACCATTCTGTAGTCAAAGAGATACATAACATTCTGAAGTCAAACAATGCTGTATGACTACAAGACCTGTCTACCTCATTTGAAACTGCCATAACCAATATCTGGTCACATATTTTAACACAGACTTACATTCATGCTTGAAACACGTAACATATTCCAACATTGGACATGAAGCTCCTATCTCTCCTGCTGCACCAAGGTCGACCTGATGCACCTGCTTCTACAGCAGAGATTGCAGGAGGGCACTGGATGCAACCTGGGCAAAGGGGGATAACTCTTCCCACAAAGCACAAGACTTCCGTTGTGGTAACCTCAGAAGCTATTATCTTGATGCAGTGTTGCAGCTCAAGATCAGGTGCTGGCAAGCAAACTGGTTAACAGTGCTTAGTCTACATACAACATCCCAGGGATGTTGTTCTACACACTATCCAGAGACAAGGAGATACACCCAGGTTTCAGACAGATGGTGCAATGATGGAATCTTCCCAAATCAAAATACATGGCTGCCTGGGAATTGTAACATTGACACTAGAAGGACTCATGGTTTCTATGACGACCATGCGCTTGTTGTCTGCCTTACCTGGTCGTATTCCTTCATGGTGCGAGCTCGGATCGGAGACATCCGCCCATTGCTCTGTTTCGTCACCACTGCAACAAACAAAAGGCATTTGTAGCAAATATTTTCAGATGCATATCATCCAACGCCCCATCACCCACCAAATGCTCCATCGCCCACCCAACTCACCACTGTCCACAAAAATACCCATCGCCCACACAAATACCCATCGCCCACCCATTTCACCATTGTCCACACAAAATACCCACCGCCAACATATCTCATCACTCGCACAAATACCCATCGCCCACACAAATACCATACCCATCGCCACCCAACTTCCCATCGCCCACCCAACTTTCCAGCATCTACACGACTCTCCAGGGTCCACCCAACTTATCATTGTCTACAAAAATACCCATCAGCCACACAAACACCCATCAGCCACACAGCTCCCCATCGCCCTCACAACTCCCCTTTTTCAACACAAATACCCATCGTCCACAACTCCCCATCAGTGATCAACTCCCCATCGTCCACAACTCACCATCAGTCATAAATTCCCCATCGGTCATAAATTCCCCATCAGTCATCAACTCCCCATCGGTCATCAACTCCCCATCAGTCATCAACTCCCATCGGTCATCAACTCCCAATAGTCCACAACTCCCCATCAGTCATCAACTCCCCATCCTCCACAACTCACCATCGGTCATAAATTCCCCATCGGTCATAAATTCCCCATCCGTCATCAACTCCCCATCGGTCATAAATTCCCCATCAGTCATCAATTCCCCATCGGTCATCAACTCCCCATTGGTCATCAACTCCCCATCAGTCATCAACTCCCCATCGGTCATCAACTCCCCATTGGTCATCAACTCCCCATCGGTCATCAACTCCCCATTGCCCACAACTCCCCATTGTCCACAACTCCCCATCAGTCATCAACTCCCCATCAGTCATCAACTCCCCATCGGTCATCAACTCCCCATTGGTCATCAACTCCCCATCGGTCATCAACTCCCCATTGGTCATCAACTCTCCATCATCCACAACTCCCCATCGGTCATCAACTCCCCATCGTCCACAACTCCCTATCAGTCATCAACTCCCCATCGGTCATCAACTCCCCATTGGTCATCAACTCTCCATCATCGTCCCCAACTCCCCATCGGTCATCAACTCCCCATCATCCACAATTCCCCATCGGTCATCAACTCCCCATCGTCCACAACTCACCATCAGTCATAAACTCCCCATCAGTCATCAACTCCCCATCGGTCATCAACTCCCCATCGTCCACAACTCCCTATCAGTCATCAACTCCCCATCGGTTATCAACTCCCCATAAATCATCCACTCTTCATCGTCCACAACTCCCCATTGGTAATGAATTCCCCATCGGTCATCAACTCCACATCGGTCATCAACTCCCCATTGGGCATCAACTCTCCATCGGTCACCATCAACTCCCCATCGGTCATCAACTCCCCATAGGTCATCAACTCCCCATCGTCCACAACTCCCTATCAGTCATCAACTCCCCATCAGTCATCAACTCCCCATCGGTCATCAACTCCCCATCGTCCGCAACTCCCCATCGTCCACAACTCCCCATCGGTCATTCACTCCCCATCAGTCATCAACTCCCCATTGGTCATCAACTCCTCATCGTCCACAACTCCCCATTGGTCATCAACTCCCCATTGGTCATTCACTCCCCATCAGTCATCAACTCCCCATCGGTCATCAACTCCTCATCGTCCACAACTCCCCATTGGTCATCAACTCCCCATCGGTTATCAACTCCCCATAAATCATCCACTCTTCATCGTCCACAACTCCCCATTGGTAATGAACTCCCCATCGGTCATCAACTCCACATCGGTCATCAACTCCCCATTGGGCATCAACTCTCCATTGGTCACCATCAACTCCCCATCGGTCATCAACTCCCCATCTGTCATCAACTCCCCCATCAGTGATCAACTCCCAATCGTCCACAACTCCCCATCGGTCATCAACTCCCCATCGGGCATCAACTCTCCATTGGGCATCAACTCTCCATTGGTCACCATCAACTCCCCATCAGTCATCAACTCCCCATCGGTCATCAACTCCCCCATCAGTCATCAACTCCCAATCGTCCACAACTCCCCATCGGGCATCAACTCTCCATTGGTCACCATCAACTCCCCATTGGTCATCAACTCCCCATCGGTCATCAACTCCCCATCGGTCATCAACTTCCCATAGGTCATCAACTCCCCATCGGTCATCAACTCCCCATCGGTCATCAACTCCCCATCAGTCATCAACTCCCCATCGGTCATCAACTCCCCATCGGTCATCAACTCCCCATCGGTCATCAACTCCCCATCGGTCATCAACTCCCCATCGGTCATCAACGGCCCATCGCCCTCACCATGCTCACAACTCCCCATTGTCCACACAACTCCCCATCACCCAAACAACTCCCCATTGTCCACACAAATACCCATCGCCCACCAACACCCCACACCCGCCCTGACGACCTACTTGGAATGGATCCATCCTGATACTCCAGATGATTGCCGAATGTGATCTCCGGCAGCAGGTCCGGGTTGGCACTGAAACAACAAGAACAGAGTGAGATAAAGTTATCTCCCTTCATAAGTTTATGGCTAACTCATGAACCCAAAATAACACGTTGGGCGGCACTGGAATGACACTGCATGAATTCACTTAGTCTGTCTTACAGACCCTGATACAAATATATCACACATTTGTAAAATACAGCCCATGCCAGTCTATAAAGTTTGGCACTGCAGAGTCTCTGGGCTCCTTTTTGTTATATTTTTATTAGTGTAATTTAACAACTGTTTTTTTTTCTGTACGATATGTTCATTTCAGAGAGTAGATGTTAGTCTAGAATTCACTGTAAACTTTGTTTCCCTGACCCCAACGAATACAGTTCATATTTACAACATCGACATAACTTTCTGAGTTCGATTGATTGATTGATTGATTGATTGATTGATTGATAAGTATTGGCTATACAAATTCTGTCTGGAATTATTTCCTTTCAGTGTTCATATTTGAAGTGCACCCCAGGCTTCTAAACATCTGTGCACTCTCCCGTTCCAAGATGCTGCATTGAGCTTTTATCTCTGTGGAGCTACGCATTTGATATCAAACACTTAAAGAATCACAAACTTATGATAAAATATGGACCAGACTTCTTGATCATGTTGATTTTAAGTAAACTTATCATTATCTTATCAATGCAGTCTCAACATGCTCAACATGCTGTTCATATTTTTCCCAAGACTTAAAATAATGTGGATGTATACAAATATAGTATATAAAATGATATGATAAGTACACATAAATAAGACACTAGTAATGATATCTGAAGATGAAACTTGACTCATGGTTCCCCACTGGTACTGGGTCATCAGGTGTGGAGGCATCATCCTCTCACTGCCACCAGACCTGTCTGGTCCAACATGAGGCTGGCTATCTTGTCTGCAGGGGGTGGGGGAGTAGGGGAGGTGGTGGTGTGATGGGTGGGGGAGAAATGTAGAGATGATAGGAAGGGATGCAAATTGGCAAGAGCCTGAGTCAATTAATGTCAAAATGGGAAAGGTACCCCTAGGGCAAGCAAAATTTCAGTCTTCTAGGGGGTTAATGTTAGTGGCCAGCCAAAATAATATGGAGAGGGGAGGGGGGAGGGGGAGGGGGAGGGGGAGGAGGAGGGGGAGGAGGAGGAGGAGGGACGGGGACGGAACTGCCATGGCCCTGCAGCAGGGGGGGAGTGGCTGTGATAACACGACCATGTAATGGTTTCACTTCCCTTCCCTTTCTCCAACACTATCTGCCATGCTGGGCAACCACAGACAAGATAACAGCTCATCTGTAACCAGTAAAGACGCCACAGCAGGGCGATGTAACGTCCAACACACCCAGCTACATGACTCACTCACTGCAGAGCAAGTGAAACTAGATATTCATATCAGAGACCCATTCACATGAATTTCCTTAAATTATCTTGATTGAAATTGCAGGATCATGCTGGCTTACAGATTTTCTACAGCAATCCAAGATGTAATCACTTATACATTCATCTCAAGTAAACAGGCTGAAGAAAATAACATCTTTCCACACATCCAAGTGTCACAGATGATCATGCATACAGAACACAGAGACAGCAGAACATGGACTTCCCATGTAAACATCCCACCCTAAAAGGGCCCCCCACTGTCACATGACTATCACATGATACAGCAGGGTTTTGGTTGGCAGTATTGGAAAAAAGCATTGAGCCAAACTATCACATCAACTTGTTAATGGAAAATTTCTAAGGAAGAGAAATTATGGATGTCAACTTCTTCCTGACTAGGAACACAATATTTCAGGGTATAGTTACTCCATCATTCACCTGATGAAGGAGTAAGTATAAACTCTGAAACGTGTTCCTCATCATAAAGAAGTTGACATCCAAAAATTCTCTTCCTTATGTGTATCACTTCTCAATGCCTTTCAAAGACTTGACAAGTTCTACTTGTTGCATAAGTCTGAAAACTTTATAATAAAAATCATGTGTTTGAATCTAAAAAAATAATTCTTTGATTCATAATACAACAAAAAGTATTTGTTACTGGTATTCTTTATTTGTCATAATCAACGCAAAAATGATAATCTGAAGAAAATGCAGTTCTGAATGTTATTGTGATCATTCTGTAACCCCACAATCCTCCAAACCTCAACACTATTCCCCACACAACTGTATGTAACACAAGCACCTGAGTTGACAATTCTCCAACAATAAACATGATAACATGATAAAGAGCTAGACAGATTTCAGTTGTGATAATCATAACAATTCTGTACATAATCAGTGTATCGATTCCATGTGTGATTAATCCCGGCCTGTCATGGTATAATCCCGTAATCCCCTCCACAAATGATAGCCAGATAGGCTGAGGCTGCAAGAAGCCAACAATTACATCGTTTAACACCTCAGATCCCAACTGATAAACATGATAAATACACTATTGTATAAACCTCATAAACACTGGTCCTCCTGTCCTGACATAATAGGCCCTGACTGTCCCCCGGACGGGGATTACTCAGGGTTGACCCTGTGAAGTAGACTTACACATATCTCTAAGGCAATAATTATTAGCATAAATCATATAATTTCTAGATATTATAAATCATAAGAACAAGTTGTCCCTATAAGAGACTGGAGTCCTATGTACTCCACATATCTAGACTTGCCCATTTGAGGAGGATACAATTACTTCACATTCATGGACTTTTCTTTCAGTACAGCCTTGAAGCAAGGATACCTGTGGTGCTGTCACTACTTTATCCTCTCATGTTTGATGAACCATGTAATGAGTTGTGTTATAAATAACAGATTATCAGCTTACGTTGATATGATTTATTATAGACAATACAGTCCCTGCTGCAATATTTAGCAGAAATGACCACTTGTTGCAGAAATGTACCTATTCTGCAGAAAATCACATTTTGTTGTAGACCTCACGCAGAATGTTGCATTTATCTGTCACCGAAGTCTTCAAATACACTGCAGAATTTTTAACGTGTGTCGAAAGCTGGTTTCAACGTGTAAACTGATATTTATTTTGTTTTGAAGTAAAGTTGACTTTCGTATAATTTTACCAAAAGTGCATGTCTGTATGTTTACACTGGTGATCTTGCTCAATAAGCTATTCTAGCCGTGAATAAGCTTATGATAGGAATACCTGCCACAAGTAAAAAAGATGCAAAATTTATTAAATCCATGAAATTCTTAACAGTTTGCAGAATTGTGTGCAGAATTATCAAAAATTGAGAGCAGAATTTAAATGTTTGGCCGCGGAAAAAAGTGGGGTCTGACAATAGGACATGTCTACATGGCCAGTCATAATGCATGCATCCAGTCACAAGTCACAAGAACCTTGTCCTGTATATTTGTAATATTTGTCATCAGATTGCCTTAGCTTCATTGTTACTCTGGTCTCATGGTTTATTTATCAAACTGGCTTCCACAGGAGATATGCTTGGGTAAAAATGAAACTGCATCACAATGACTTGCAGACCACTGTGATGTCATCAGTTACTATGATATCACAATTAAATGACAACACTAATCTCTCTGCCTCTGAAGCTGGTTCGCTATACTGTCTATGTATAGACTCTCATATGGTCTATGAAATCCTTTATTGGAATATTGCTGAGTACGGCATTAAACACCAACCAACCAACCAACCTACCAACCAACCAACCTACCAACCAACCTACCAACCAACCAACATACCAACCAACAACCAACCAACCAACACATTTGTCTCCTCTAAAATGTTTTGATTTTCATAAAATATATATTCCACAGTCATTGTGCAGGACCAATGTAGGTCCTGTGCTACATGTCCATGTACAGCTACACAAGCACTGGAGACTATGGACTCTGATAATAGCTTCTGTCCAGGGTGATTATGGCACTGGTTGGGTGGTGTATACAGACAATATCCCCCTATGTCCTCCACCATAACAAAGTGCCCATTAGACGCCTTGCTGGATGCTTTGTGGCCGACATTAGCCTGTCAGTACATGTTGGCCTAATTTATACACACAAATCAACACAACCACATCTGCATAAGGTGTTGTACTACAGTATACATGCTGGACAGATACCCAAGTGTACTACACAGCGTTCCCAGTGAGTGAGTGAGTGAGTGAGTGAGTGAGTGAGTGAGTGAGTGAGTGAGTGAGTGAGTTTACCGAAACTTTCAGCATTATTCCAGCCATATCATGGCACAGGACCTCAATGAATGGGCTTCACACATTTTTACCATTATTCATTATGTTTATCTCTACATATTCTTGGAGCTATGCACACTGCATCGAACACATTTTTGTTCTAATAGCATGTTAACAGTGTATAAGTAAAGCTGATGCAGCAGGGGTAGACACCATCAACTAAATCTCTAACCATTGCTAACTGGTCCACACCTCAACTTGGACTAGTGGTTCATGTTGACATTAGCAGAGGTTGACATAGTTGAGTAGACTAAGATCTAGTCTCTGAAATGAACATATCGTACAGAAAAAAAATACAGTTGTTACATTATCTTAAAAACAATTATAATAAAGGAGCCCAGAGACTCTCTTCATTTTCAGATACTGTAGAAATCTAAACTTGCCAAACATTATACACTTGCATGGGCTGTATTTGATATATATTTGTGTCAGTAAGACAGACTAATGGTTGAGAAAAACAAGCAGTAGATTCTGACCGGACTCAGGACTGGGGTTCCAGTTAGGGGTACACTGACTGCACTCAAGTTCCAGTTAGGGGTACACTGACTGCACTCAGGACTGGGGTTCCAGTTAGGGGTACACTGACTGCACTCAGGACTGGGGTTCCAGTTAGGGGTACACTCACTGCACTCAGGACTAGGGTTCCAGTTAGGGGTACTCTGACTGCACTCAGGACTCGGGAACTACTTACTACTAGTGTCAACACGTTCAACTCTTGTAGTAGATCTCAACTGTCTGTGTGACACATAATACTAATAGATACAAGGCCAACATTTGTTGTGTGCCAAGTTTACCTTGA